CAAAAAAACCAAACAAAAATGCCAATCTTATCCAGAAACATCCTCACAAACATACCCAGAAATAACACTTTACCAGCATTCTGGGTATAGCTTAATCCAGTCAAGTTGACACCTGAAATCAAACACCACAGTGCCTGACAAACGATACATGCTCAAAAAACATTAGCAGTTATCATCATTGTGATTGACATTATTTTTTCTACATATACATCTTACTTACCAAATTATGATGTGTGGGACAGAGGTTCTCTTGGGTATATCCATATTTCCTCTCTGAACCCAAACCCAGCAGTGTTAGGCACATAGCTGTCACTTGCTAAGTGTTTGTGGAATAGATTATTGACCATCTGATATAATTAGGAATATACATATGATAATACCAGCATGTTCAGTGAAGGTTGTATTTGTCCTGATTTTTGCAGTTCCTCCCTACAACCTTGCAACAACATAATTTCATTCTTCTTTATGGGCAAACTTGATGGTATATAAACTATAATGTTAGTTGTTATTAAGCTCCTTAAAGGAGCTTAAAATTTTGCTCCTTCTAAGTCAGCCATGCTGTAGTAAATGTTAATGGTCAGACAGTCAGATTGCAGCACTGATGGATTAGGAGGGTGCAAGAGCACCCCAAAGGGAAAGGATACAGGAGATGGACGCCCATGGCTTTGTACAGTCCTTCACTCTCATGATGCCCAGTTCACATTTCTTTGCACCAGACCTGGTGACCTCTGACTCATCTTGCCTCCAACTCCACCATCAAGACTGATCTGAAGTCTGTATTTTTTCTGTCTTGCGGTAAACATCACCATCCACCTTAGCATCCAAGCAAGACACCAGAAATTATCGTGGAGTTCTCTTCTCCTTTTTTCTGACCTTCCTACTCAGTAGCTTTTAAACTGTTCCGCTCTTCTCCATTTCTACCAGACTGCCTCAGCTTTGTAACCTCCTCCCGTGACCAGAGTCTAAGGTTTTTACTGCTCGCTACTCTACTGAAACCAGGAGACAGAAGTTAGTGGAAGGAAATAGATTTATTTAAGGACGACCCCAAGGAAAACAGAAGAGATTCTCTGTCTCGAATCTCCATCTTTGGGGGTATCATGGGTGCCAAGGGCTTTTTGGGAGAATACAATGGGTTATAATGAGACAAAAGGGCAGACTTTGTCATCCAGAGATATGTCTTCTTACCTCTTCTCTGAGGACTTAGCTTTCCTGCAGTTGGTTACCCAGAACCCCAGGCAGGGCCTCTTCTCAGCAAAAGAGATTAGAGATAGGGAGCAAGGGTTAGTTTCAAATGAACCCCTGTCATAATCACTTCTCACCTGCATTTTCTTCCTGGTCTCACTCCTGCTCCACACTGACTCATTTCCCTTCCTATAGTCAGAATTATTCTTTCAAACACTGGGATGTCTGTGGCACTGGCTATGCTAAAATCTGCCCTTTGTTCTCTGTACAGAGTAAATTCCTTCAGCTCCTCAAAGAGCAATCCTTTTGCCCCCTTTGGTGCTTTCTGCCTCTCCTGGAATGCTCTTAATCCTTTAAACCCAATTTGTTACTTCACCTGACTGACTCCCACTTATCCCACTGTGTCAGCTTTGCCACCAGTTTCTCTTTGAAGCCCTCCAGGACTGCATGCACATATACAGCACACACATACACACACATATGTACTTCTTTTCTTTTCTTTTCTTTTTTGTGGTACTGGGGTGTGAACTTGGGACCTTGAGCTTGCTAGGCAGGTGTGCTATCACTTGAGCCACTCTGATAACCCTTTTTGTGTTGGTTATTTTTTGAAATAGGGTCTCATTTTATGCATGGACTGGCCTGGCCACAATTCTCCTATTTGTGCTTTTCTACACAGCTGGGATGACAGGCACATGCCACTGTACTCTGTCATTGATTGAGATGGGGTCTTGTGAACTGTTTGCCCTGGCTGACCTCAAACCACAATCCTCCTGATCTCCACCTCCTAAGCAGGTAGGATTACAGGTGTGAGCCACTGCGCCTGGCCAATGAGCTTCTGTAATATCCTACAATTTCCTATCATAGTCCTTAGCCATTGAGTAACAATTATTTGTTGATTTGTCTAAACCCTCCATAGTGATCTTCAGGAAAGAGTTGTGTCTAATTCACTACTATATCCTTAGCACCTTGCACAATTCCTACACAGACATGGTTATCTTCTATCCAAACTTGATTCCCTCCCTTCTGCTGTAAGTTGCTGTACCTGATGCACCTAGAACCACAGCTGCTTCTGCTACATTCCAGGGAGGTAGCCTGAGAAGACAGAACAGGCAAAAGACAGGAATAGCTGGGCCTTTCAAATTGTCATTGAGATGATGGATTGGCCCACTCTGGGTCCCTCAACACTTGTCACAAGAGATAACAAGCACCTTTACTGTAGGGGCTGCTGGACATTCACCCAAGGTCATCACAGATAGGAAAATGAAGACTGAGGGTATTGTTCAGTGGGAGAGCACTTGCTTGTCTACCATGTGCAAGACCCTGGGTTTAATCTCTGGCACAGAGGGAAAAAAAAAAACAAAACAGGTTTCTTGGTCCCACCACTGGAGGTTCAGATTCAGAGGGTTGTGGTCCAGATTTTGCATTGCAGCCAACTTTCTGATGTAACTGGTCTGCAAACCACACTTCAAGAAGGCCCTATTCCATTTTATGTTAATGGAATGGAATCACAGGGAAGTGGTGTTTCACACAAATCAAGGGATCAGATTCAAATGATGGAAAGATCCAGAAGACTGGGACCACATCCTGGCTACACTGTTCACCAGATAAGACACTGATTAGACAAGTCACTTAACTTCCCTAAGTCTGAATGTCCCTGTTTATTTAAAATAACACAGATTAACATTTCTCTACATTGCTGTTCCATGGGTTTGGTGTAAAGACCAGATAATCTCAGTGACTGTATTCCACACATATAAGAAAATAGCCTTTTTAGGACTCTGTTTATTGAGAACCTTAATTAAAAAAAAAAAAGCTATGTTCATTAGGCTGTATTTATTGATAAAGAAATGGAAACTCACATTTTAAAAAGATTGCTCTGTGGTCAAACTATAAAAGGGATTCTCCTTAATTTTTGATTAATCAGAGAAGT